TTTTTCTTTCCGTTTATATTTTCTTTCTTTAAAGACTGTAGCGCAACTAGAAATTTTTTTGCTGGTTGGGGAGTTAGCTGTCATTAAATTAAGAAAAGTTTTTAATTAAATTAATTAATGTAATTAAAGTAAGTAAGTATTAATTAAATTTTAAGTCAACTCAATCATTTGACCTCCCAAGCCCTCCCCCCCACTTCTGGTTGCACGTCTGCCTTAAGGACCCGTTTATTACGAGCACTCGGATTTAACGAGTACATGTTACGGTCCCTTTGTACTCGTTATAAACGAGTTCGACTATATATATATATATAATAATAATAATAATTTTTTTTATTTTTTTTAATATTGTGCAATTACTAAGTATCACAGCATGTCTATCGAAAATGTCTATCTTTTTCAACAACAGAACCTTGAAATCATGCAATTACTCAGAAAAAAAATCTTTATTCTTAAAATCGTTTAATCAAAAATTTTTTTTTATTGATATATATATTATTATATTGAATTATATAAAGACATACAAGACAAATTGAAGGAGATAATTGGTGACAACCTTAATTACATTAATGATACGTTCTGAAGAGCAAAAGATACAAAATAAATTTTTTTTTTGAATAAAAAGTCTCTTTTTTTATTAATTATCACAATAAAAACAGTCCTCGCTTATATGTTTTTAATTTCTTTATGAATTACGCAGCCACACGTGTAGAAAATAATATGATAATAGGTTTCTAAAAATATATCAAGGTTGTCCAGTTATATCATACTCTCGCGTCTGCGCATGCTTAGTTGAACAGGTTCGTTCCATTTTGGGTTAGTAGAAAGATATTTTTAGCCAGAATTAGATTAACAAAGCGTGTTAATAATATCAGCATGTAAGAAATTCGCTAGAACCGTTTTTAAAAAGTATATTTAGTGCTCAAAGGATATCTTTTAAAAGGAGGTAGGTAGAATTAAGAATGATATTTAATTATTATTGTAAAATTACTTAGGATTAAGATTTGTAAGGATAACTTAAGATCTTAAGAATTTTTAAATTGTGTTAGATATTCAGAATATCTTACATTTTTACAAAATGGTACTAAAATATATTTTTTAGCAATTAAATGTTTAATTGCTAAATTAAATTATTATTAAATTATTATTGTAAAATTAAATTATTATTGTAAAATTACTTAGGATTAAGATTTGTAAGGATAACTTAAGATTTTTTAATTAAAAAATATTTAAATATTATAAGAAACGAACTTTTTCCTTTAATCTATTGGTCACCTCCAATCTAATTTTTAAATTGTGTGAGATATTCAGAATATCTTACATTTTTACAAAATTGTACTAAAATAAATTTTTTTAGCAATTAAAAGTTTAAACGTGATTTATATTGTTCAGGATTTTTATTGTTTCAACATTTTATATACTGGAAGATTCAATCAATTTTAAATCGTTAGTTAGAACGACTTATTCATTTAATTTTTTTGTGAAGTTTCAAAGATATGAGCTATCAAAAATGTAAATTTTAAGTGCTTTTTAAATTAGAAATTTAATTAAAAAACTGATTACATTCCACGTGATGCAATTTTCTGTACTTAGGGTACAAGGGACGTTGAAATTCGAATAAAATGACTAAATTTTCAATTTTGAGATTTTACTTTGTATTTGAAGTAGGAATCATAAGCTTTAAATTAAAAAAAAAATTAATTAAAATCTGATCATTTTTCACCGAGATATAAGCTTTTTTAGTATGACCACGCCCCTTTGCAGTTGCATTTGGCGTAAGTTTGGAAAAGAAGTGTTTATCTCCAAAAAAATATTAGAGCTTGGCGTTATTGCTGCAGTTGCAGAGTACAATTTAGGTTATGTTGAGACATAAAAATTAAAAAATCAACATATTTATCAGAGCTCTGTAACAGTTGCTGAAAGGAAAGTTTGCAGGCGTGCAAGTCAGAAAAAGCGAAAATTCTCTCAAAAGTTCAAGGAAGAGAAAAATTCAAGAAAATATAAAAAAATATCATTAGAAAAGAAATCAGTTAAAGAAGGGTTGACATATTCTGTAGGCGAATTTTGAACATTAAATTAAGTGTTAAAAGTAATATATTTGAAATATGTTTAAAAATGTGTTATCACATCTTTCTCGTTTTCTCTTTCAAGTATTGTAATAACATTGTTATTTTGGATTATTTTTCATTTGAATATTATTAAATACTATATAATTNAATAATTTTTTTTATTTTTTTTAATATTGTGCAATTACTAAGTATCACAGCATGTCTATCGAAAATGTCTATCTTTTTCAACAACAGAACCTTGAAATCATGCAATTACTCAGAAAAAAAATCTTTATTCTTAAAATCGTTTAATCAAAAATTTTTTTTTATTGATATATATATTATTATATTGAATTATATAAAGACATACAAGACAAATTGAAGGAGATAGTTGGTGACAACCTTAATTACGTTAATGATACGTTCTGAAGAGCAAAAGATACAAAATACTTTTTTTTTTAATAAAAAGTCTCTTTTTTTTATTACTTATCACAATAAAAACAGTCCTCGCTTATAAGTTTTAATGAATTACGCAGTCACAAGTGTAGAAAATAATATGATAATAGGTTTCTAAAAATATATCAAGGTTGCCCAGTTATATCATACTCTCGCATCTGCGCATGCCTAGTTGAACAGGTTCTTTCCATTTTGGTTAGTAGAAAGATATTTTTAGCCAGAATAAGATTTACAAAGCGTGAAATAATATCAGCGTATAAGAAATTCGCTAAAATAATTTTTAAAGTATATACTAGTGTTTAAAGGATATCTTTTAAAAGGAGGTAAGTAGAATTCTGAATTATATTTAATAATTATTTTAAAATTACTTAAGATTAAGATTTTTAAGGATTACTTAAGAATTTTTAATTAAAAATATTTAATAATAAAAAACGAGCTTTTTGCTTTAATGTATAGGTCACCTCCAATCAAATTTTTAAATGGTGCAAGATATTCAGAATATCTTACATTTTTACAAAATTTTACTAAAATACGTTTTTTTTGGTAATTAAATGTTTAAACGTGATATAGATTGTTAAGGATTTTTTATTGTTTCAACATTTTATATACTGGAAGATTCAATCAATTTTAAATCGTTAGTTAGAACGACTTATTCATTTAATTTTTTTTATGAAGTTTCAAAGTTCAAAGTTACGTTCCGCATGAAGTTTCAAAGTTACGTTCCGCATGAAGCAATTTTCTGTGCTTAGTAAATTGCTTAAAATACCGTATCTTACTGCACAAGTTTATTTATTTGTATTATTATCATTGTTTTAATTATTATCATTATAGTAGTTAAATTTATCCAGTCTGGTTAGTTCAGTCTTTAAAAAAAAATATCAACCAGAAATGAAATTTTCATTCTGCTATTAATCTTGTATAAATTTCGCCAAGTTAATCCTTGTAATATTTATAATGCATGAAAGATAATTCTTTTTTTAACATGAATGAAAATTTAAATTTAGCTAAAAATTTCGAACATAAATTTAACATTTAAAGTAAAAGTGAATACAGATTAACCCTATATTTTAACACTTGCGTCCACTGTGCGTTGAGAGTTAAAACGCAAAGATTTTAAAATTATTTTAATAGGGGATTAGGATGATTAATATTTCATTTTAATCATCCTAAAGTTATATAATAGGAAATTAATTATTTTTAATTTGAAAATTGGCTTTTGACCACTGTTATAGTGTGTTTAATATCTGAGGAGTTTTCTTTTCAATATTGCATTATTATTATATATTATATTCCACTATCTGCATCATAGAAAAGATGCACATAATTAAATTTGTCATAAAATTGTTTTTTAAATATCTTTTTAAATAAATTTTATAACTTTTTAAAATTAATGCAGTCAATATTTGCGGGAGAAATTTACTAAAACTAGATAGTATTAAGTTATTTACCGTAAACTTAGACTGCATCGTCGTAGAAATGCATTTTTTTTTTTTTAAATATCTTATTCAAGTGGTGCATTCAATATCTGTGGAGAAGATTTGATTAAAAATTGAAATTCATTATCTACGAGGAAGAATTTGATTAAAGCAAAAACAAAAAAACAGTTAATTTTAAATCCAGTGACTCTGTGTTGTTTAAAAAATGCACTGTAAAAAATGCAAATCTTCAATTTTTTTTCAAACTTAATTTCTTATTTTTAAAATTTTTTTTTTTTTAAGATTTTAAATAGTATTTTATTGCTTAGAAAGCAACTTCCAGATTTTGAATACATCACTCTTATAGTGCATTCTGGATATGGGTATCTAGTGTTGTTTTCTTTCGGGATTAAAATAAGAAAATGTTACTAGCTCCGCAAATCGTGATTAAAATAAGAAAATGTTACTAGCTAGAAAATGTTAAACTGCTCCGCAAAATTCTAGTTACCGAAACTTTCATAAAATTTTGAATAAGTATATCACTTTCAATAATATTTTTTCTTTTAGAAATTTAAGTAAGACTGCCATGCAATAGATCTAACAGTATTAGCATCTCAACTAATTGTTTTTTAGATTTGTAAATAAAAAAAGGTCATCCAGTCCATTTTTACTAAAATGTCTATTGTTTTTTTACCTGACCTTCATCAGTTTTTTACATACCTTTTTATGTATCTTACGACTTATAATATCATCCATATAAATTAAATAGCTAATGTGAGGAAAGCAATAATATCATCCATATAAATTAAATAGCTAATGGTAGGAAACAATCTAGAGCAGTGGTCCACAAAAAGTGTTCTGTGGCACCCAAGGGTTCCTTGGAAGGGTCACAAAATTTCCGAGCGTTAAAACATTTTTTCAAATAGTAATTATTTTTGAAATCTGTAATAATATTTATATCCAACCAATAATCCATAATTTATTTAATATCTAGATGATTTTTATGAAATTATTTAAGTAAAATGCCAATGGAGGAAGAAATAGTAAAATTTAAAGAATAAGAACCAGCATTTTATTGAATAGAATTTAAAAAGAATAAGCATTTATAAAAAAAAATTGATTCTATATTTCTCATCAATCTTTTGAATTCAGAGTAAAATAATGAAATTCAAGAGTCGAAGTGTTCCTCTGAAAACCTCACTTAATGTTAAGAGCAGTTTTATTTTTCGAAAACCGTACTTCAGTTTATTTCATTCATTTTCAATTTATGCATACACTCAAAACAAATTCAGAACTATTTTAAAATTCAACTAGCTGACACAATTGACTTGATTGAACAATGAACAAAAAACCTTCATTTTCATATAAAATGATTACAAAATTATTACTTTTCTTTCATCGGTTAGTATATTCGCTGCTGCTGATGAACTTTATTTATCAAGTTCTAGTTCCGCCATAAAAACTGGATCATTTAGGTTTCCCAGACAAAAATTGGGAAATGCGCTTTCTGAGATATTCAATTTTTTTAAAGCTGAAATTCATTTGTCAAACCTTACTACTTTTGTTTGATTTTATTAAGTTACTAAAAAGGTGTATGGTGTGATAACGATGTAAATTTGCTCCAAATCCTTTTTAACCATGCTATTAAATGCTCTATATATGATAATATTTTTCAAAAAAAAATTTGGTTAAATCTTCTGTAAATCAGCTCATTGAATTATAATTTAAGTTTTTTACTTTTTCTAAAAGTAAAATAACTAATCTTAACCACGATAAGGCTTTATTTTCTCAGAAATGTCTGACTTTTTTTTAAAATTTTTATTATTTTTGTCATAAAATAAGACTAATTGAGAAACAAATGCTATTAAATCTAGGACCCCTTAGTGCTAACTTTATTTTTAATGTATTTCGCCATATCTCGCGAAATTTTAAACGAGTTATAAAAAAAACTTTTTCCCACAAATATAAAATTCGTTTATCCGAAAATAATATAATGCAAAAAAATAATTATTATTTGCAACAATTTATTTTTACAGCAACTATTATAAAAAGATAATTATGGTCGCAATAGTTTCGCCCTATATCTCGAGATATTTATTCCGCGTCTTCCAGCACCGAATTGAAAACGTTTTGTCCACATTTATAAAATTGATTTACGCGAAGATAATTCCATGCAAAAAATGATTTTTAACAATTCCTTATTTTATTTAATAATGGTAGAAAAAATTTGGAACTATATGGTTTGAAAAGTTTTAAATCATTTTAAGGAATGTAATTTTATATGGCAAAAAAAAAAATTTTTTTTTTACGAAATTGGTCGAATAGTTCCAGAGTAAACGAATCCTGAGTAATGTGTCCATATATTTTCCTGATTTCTTAACTTAAAATATCGTCTGAACTTAATTAATCAAGATATTTGAGGACCCCTTCAAACCATTGAGATTCAGTCCTAGTAGGTGAAGGTCCTATCATCAGATCAAAAGATATTCAGGGTAGTCCTTTTTTTGTGCACTGTGCAACAAATAAACTTTAATGAAAACTAAGCCGAATATATAGCACAATTTCATTTTATTCTAATTCTTTTATTTTATTTTATTCTAAGTTTTAAAAGTATGAACAGTTACTTTTAAAATTTAAAATTGAACGCAAAATAATTTATTCATATCAATATAGTTTATTTTAAATCTTTAAAAAAAAAAAAAAAAAAAAACTGTATCCACTATAAGATATTTCATTAAGAGTAATTCGGCAGATTCGATAACGTTTTTTCTTTTTTCCTAATATAAATATCAGCTGTCTAAATATTAGTCTAAAATGAGTCTAGTTTCCCTAGATAAATAGTTTGGCACCTAATGTGTATTTTTATTTTTGACAAGCATTATGAATGTATACATGAAGGTATTCGACTGTGTAAAAATCGGTAATTTTGGTAAAAATATTGTGTTGAGAAAAGAGTTTTTTTTTTGTTTAGTTACGAATGAAAACTCTATCAATCAAATTTTATTTAAATTATAAGGGAAGAACTTTTATAGAAACAGGCATGGGAAGAAATCATAGATGGTGACTTTAAATGAGTAATCAAAAAAAAAGTAAAAAAATATTAATAAAATGCTTATCAGTCCCCCTTTACTTTTCTATTCGATTTTCCCCCCTTATTATTAATTTGTATTTATTTACCTGCTTTGTAACACTGAGAAATTAAGATCAAATAATTTTTTTTTTAAATGCACAAAAAGAGAACTTCGTTAGATTTAAATTAAAAGAATATCAGTTCAAGCAAAAACGACTGGAAACTTTCAGTGAAATTATCATTGGTGACGTCACGCATATGAATTACGTGTTTTAAAGTTCTGATACACGAATTCTTCAATAATAACTGACTGTTTTTTGTTAGATTTTTTTACGATAAAAAATATTTCAGATAGCATTTAACACAGTTAGAAAACAATTCAATTGAGTATTCCTAACTAATCCGATGATTTTGCCTAATCACGTGGTTGTGCATGGTGTGTTAACCGTTACAGCTTCATAAGACTTGTGTTTAGCATCCCGCTGCATCAATTTTCGGATCTGATTTTATCGAATACCTGCAAGCGACGTCACGTGTGTGGGTCAGATCTGAGCGGCGTCGATTGCAGGTATCCAATTAGGTCTTGGTTATTTTTTTTTCTTTTTTAAGGAAAAAAAAACTAGTTTTATAAAGGCGAAATTTAGTTTTAGAAGGGATTCCTATGAAAATCTGTCCTGACTTGCAATACACTGATTTTCAAAACCATCCCTTCTAAATAACCAAGACTCTTTTCATAAGGAAGAAACAAGGAACGCTAAAATAGAATTTCAAAAAAACTAATAAAAAAAATTTTTTGGAATTTTTTTTCAATGAGTTACTTATTGTACAAAAATGTTAAATATATGAAAATCTCATTTGCGAATTTTTCGTCACTTGTATGAACTTTTTCTATTGCGCGACAATACTTTCAATTTGCTTTTATTATACCTATTGTCCTTTTTTTGCATCACTATTCTAACAAAGATCAATAAACATTTCTAAAATTGAGTTATTGGCTTCAACGAACCATTTTAAATGCAAGATAAGGTTTTAGACCTTGTAAAAAATTCAAAGTATTTGTTGAAAGCATCAGTTCGATTACCCTATATATAAATCATTGTGTTTTTTATCCCAAAAACATACTCCTGAAAAATTTCAATATGTGGCTTATATTTATTGTGCCCCAAGTTTCTTAATGATTTAAAATTTCTTAAAATCCTAAGGTTGTTTTTCCATCAATACTTACCAGAGTTTAAATCACATATGGATAAAATATAGACAAATATTTATCGTTTTATGATGTCCGGTAAATTTTAATTAGAGGAAGCCATAGGACCATTTGAACTAAGCGACAGTTAAAATTGTTCTATTTGGACAGTTTTATTGTTTTGAATATTTTAATGAAATTATTATTTTCCATACTGCGCATGTCAAAGCGCGAACGTTACACTTATGAAATGCTGAGTAAGTTTTTTTTTTGGAGGGGAGGAGATCTGTGCTCCCCCCCCCCCCAATGANATCTGTGCCCCCCCCCCCCCCAATGAAGAAAACCGGTCGTCTTCATTTTCATATCAACATGCTGGCCAGAGAATTCTTATCAATATAGTGACGGCTTTTTTTATTTTTTAATACTCTATCATCTTAATGCAAGTCAATAAAATTTTAAAAAATATTATAAACAAAAGCGAAAGAGACAGCGTAATCACACAATTTTTTTTTCTTAAGATGTTTGATGTTTCGAGTTTTATTTTTGTTGTGTACACATAGATCTAAAAGGGAAAAATTAATATTAGATCATTATCTTATTCAAACTTAATTACACCTAATATGCTTTTTATTTTGTAATTTATAACCGTTGTTGATTAACCCACCCAATTCTGAGTTTACGACTAATCAATGCTCTTCTCCGTAGCCTTGTAATTTTGAATTCTGCTCAGAAGACATGGGAATTTCTAGATCAAGCATTGGAACAAACTGTAGCCTTCGTGGAGTACTTTGGAGTACTAACCTGCATTTGCGTTACACGGAAAGAAAAACTTCGGAAACCTCTCATAGTTTACCAGAAGGCAAGGGGATTCTAACCCATGATGCGTTGGACAGAGTGGAGTGCCTGTTCGCGAAGCTGAGAACTGACTCCTTGATCTATAGTTGTGCTCTTGGGCGACAAGAATATGATAGTGAGCAGATAATGGCGGGAGAAATGTTGGATATTGTTGCAATCTCGGTGGTTGGCGCGAATTGCCACTAGCCGATTCTTCATAATCTAAAAGACATAAGCTGAGGAGACATATGTGTAAAAATAAAACAAGTGATAAAAAGAAAAAAGCGAGAGAAATGCCACCACTGAAAGATATTTTATATCAGCGATGTGGTCGGCGCGAGCCTTGAGAAGATTTTGTATCAACCAGATATCGGATTTGAATCTGAGTCACCTCATTGGGAGGCGAAAGCCCTATCGCCTGAGGCTCTACATCTTAACTGATATGCTTTCACAAAATTAGATGCAGCGTGTCTTCGTACGAAAAAATTTAAAAATATTTGCCTGGATAGGGGTGGGTCACCAACCCATTCATAATGTAGCAATTTTCGCTTTATTCATTTAACCTAATTTTGAGTTTACGACTATCAATTTAGAAAATGTAACAAACAATTTAGAAAATGGGATTAATAATTAAATCAATAAAGTTATGCGTATTTTGCTAACTGTATACTTATAACACTGTCTACCGTTACCATATACATAGCTGCATTTTTTTCTGCTTATCCATAAGTTTTTTGACGCTTTTGCAAAATTTATGCTTTAATATTTCGTCCTTGATTAAATCAATCCGATTTAAAAGAATTTTGCCCACCATTATGTAAGAATAATTAAAACACATCTATAAAAGATTGATAGTTATTTGATGTTATTTTTAGATGCTGATAAAATATTAAAAATATCTGTTTACAACTCTGAATATAATTAATGTAACGTCACTACCAGTAGAAAGAAGAGTTCCTTAAAGAATGAAAATGTTGGTAGCTGTTTCATACTATGCATGTCTTGACATTATAACATGTTTTATATAATCTATCGTACAATTATAAAATGTTAATTACATAGTGGAAAAATAAAAACAAGTGCCATTGACCCAATGAATGTTTTGGCCGAAGTATTGTACCATTGGCTCTAAACTTACACGATACTTTATTTATAGAAAAAACTCTTCTCGCAACGAAGTCTAATGCCGTCTGCGCTATCGAAACAAGAAATAGTGCATTTTAAAGAGGGGAGTTTTTTTCTTCCCAGAACTACCTTTTTTGTCTTATCTTAACTATAGACCCAACACCCATACATGAAATAGTTAAATTTCGCAACCATAATCACCGCCACTGCTGCTGACAAATGAGGAAGGGAATTCTTTCCATAGACAGAATATTGATCGTTACCAATTTGCAAAATTTAACCATCCCTTTTATTGCGTTGTAGATTTTAGCAAACATCGAAGTTCTAATTTATGTTCGAATTATGTATGTGAACATTTTCCCATTTATATAATATAATTCTGTGCTTTACGTTAGACTTCAAATTTAAGACGTTCATGAATGAACAGTTTTTAAATTTCCAAATAAAAATACTTATAAATGTTAAAAATGTACCATATATAACAAAGAAAAAAAACTTTTTTTAACCACAAATTTTGATTTTTCTCGCATAAGACAGAGTTGAATAACAAAATTAGAAAAAGAAATTTATTTCAATAATTTTATTGTATAAAATAATATAAATACTATTATAATTTAATTTGTTAACTAGTACATATTTTTGCAATATTTATTTATTATCAATTTTTCTTATTTTATTGCTTATAAAATCAGCTAACTTAATTTAATAACGCAAAATAAAGTAGTAAATTAAAATAGTTTGTTCCATTGATTAACAAGAAATCTTAAATATTTTTTAAGGAAAAAGAAATAAACTATTCCCTATTCTTGAAAAAAAAAACTATTTAAACATTATTTTGAAGAAAATAAAAACTATTTAAACATTATTTTGAAGAAAAGAAAATAATTTTTTTTTCAATTATTTTATCAATTTGTTTCATATTAACTTATACTAAATTTTAATATTTTTGTATTCATTATATATGTTTTTCTTAAAAAATGAGTAAATGACTTTTCCATTTTTTTTAAATGATAGAAAATACTTAATGCTATCCAATATAACTTTTGAAAGAAATGTTTTTTCAATAATTTTGTTTTGTTAGCTTTTACTAATACTTTAATCTTTTTTTCAATTCATCATGCATGTTTTTCTTAAAAAATGATTAAAAAACTGTTCACTATTTTTTAAAAAAGGGAAAGAAAAGAATTAAGGCTATTTAAATAAATCTTTTAAGAAAAAGCAGATATTTTTTAATTTTTTTTTACCAAAATTGAATATTTTACTTGATGCTAATATATTGATAAACTGAATACTATAACTAATGCTAAATAATAACTGAATGCATACACATAACTATATATATTCTATATATAACTATATATATATTCTATATATAACTATATATATATATTCTATATATAACTATATATATATATTCTATATATAACTATATATATATATTCTATATATAACTATATATATACTATATATATAGCTGAATACTATATATAAACTGAAAAATATAATTTTCAAATTTTGTGTTAGATACAAGGTTTTTTTTTTTCGTTTGCGTGTGTTAGTGTCAATTAACAAATTAATTTAAGCTCAAAAATTCGAAGAATATTTCTATCACACAAATATGGTAATTTCAAAACGATTCAAAAAATAATTTTAACAGAAATAATATAATAACATTTAAAAGTGATACAAAATGTTCAATGCATTGTGTTTCAAAAAATTGTTAATAGTAAATAATAAAAAGTTTTTTGAAAGAAAAAAAAAACCTATTAATCATACAATATATATTTATCACAACTATTTTTGAAAATTTCTAAAATATTAATTCATAAATAATCAGCCATTTAAATAATTACGAAGATATATTTTCTTTAAAAAAATATTTAATTAAAAATTTTAAAATTAATTTACGATCAAATTTTATTTAAAAATAAAATATAAGAAATATCAAACTGCAGTAAGTTGAAAAACTGTTTTTAAATTGTTTTTAAATTTTTAGATAAAATTATCTTAAAATAAAAATTTGATTTAAATTATTCGATTATTCCATTTATTTCCTTTCTTAAATAGAAATAAAAATTTAAATCCGATTTAATATTAAGCGTTTTTTAAATATAAATTGAACTACTTTTAAAATAAAATTTTGCATTCAGTTCCTTACCTAAAACTTCAATTATATTCTTAATATTTTAGAATTTTTAAATGCTTTAAGCAATTCAAATATATTTAGAATAAATAAATATTGAATATTTAGTTATAATATGTTTATAAAATATTTTAAATAATTATGAATTGATAATACCTTTTATGAAATAGTTACTGTAAGATATAGTACCTGTGAAGTGTACCTGATATCAGTGAAGGCTTATACTTTAACGAAGTATAGAAATATAATTTGTAAAATGAAAACTTAGATGAATAAAACTCATGTATCCCTTTTTTTTCTTGTGAAGCCCCTCGTTTATTTGTCTGCATGCTCTGTTAGCCAATCAGAATTCAGAATTTCAAGGCGTTCTGTGATGCAACCGCCTCTTCTTTGAAGACCTGTTGTCTTTATACACTTGTTCCAAAAAAAAAGAGATTTACATTACAGTTTTTGGATTTTTTTTTAATTCTGTTCCGGCTGTTTACTAGATAGCAATTATTATAATTTCTACATTAAAATTTTTCAATTACAATTGTTGGTTTTTCTAAGATTATATAACATCACGAAAGTAATATTTTTCAATAACTCAATTAAAACATAATAAATCATATAACATTTTCATGATTTATAATGATTTATATATTGTGTACACATAGATCTANATATATATATATATATCATAATCATTATATAGAATTTCCTAGTCTTTTTTTTTCTAGTGATCGCAAATGTAATGTATATTTGACGATTTTGATAAAGATGTTTAAGGTTCATTTATTGAATTATTGAATATTTTACAAATTATTTTCAAAGTGAGTATATTTTAAAATGCAATATAAATTTTCAACGCATTTTTGTTTAGAATTGTGAAAAGTAGTAAAATTACTTATAATTAAGGAATATAATTCGTATAATGAACTTATTCTAGAAATCACCTTATCCAAAGTTGAAGGGTGTGACATTTACACTAACTAAATTGGCTATTAGTTAAAATATTTTAAAGCCTTGGTTTAAATTTTAACGGATTTCAATGTTGGCTACTAACATATACATTAATACAAAACTGCTAGTTGCCCTGTATTTTTTTTAAAAAAAACTAATTTCCACGCGTGTGACATGAAAAGACATGCCTTTTCATCTTTCAGTGCAAAAACTCCAAATTCTGTGAATTATAACAACTGTAAGAACTGCGTTTTATTTATGTTAGTCAATAATTTTAAATAAATATTCTCTGGAAAAAAAAACAAGAAAAAAAAACAATTACTTTCTCAATTCTTACTTCTGTAGGAAATATTCAATATTTAAATTGCGGGTGTGACTTGTATGAACAATGAAATAAGAACACAACACAAATATTTACAAATCAGATATTTTTAATTAATATAATCATTAAATATAATCATTAATATAATTAATAATTAAATATAATCATTAATATAATCATTAATTCATTAATGAAATCAAAAGGTAATAATATCAATAGGTTTTAATATCTAAAGGTAATAATATTGTAATAAAAGAAAAAAGGCAATAAAAGATATAAATATAATGATGTGTAACACAGTAACGATATCAAAAGATAATATCAAGAGATAAGACTATAAAAAGGTAATAATATTTATTTTATTTGCCTCTCATTCTGCATTTGTCGCTGTAATTGTTTTTCCTTGTTGGCGGCTGTTGTTACCCCTAGAGTGCCTAGAGCAATACAGGCACTCTAGTTACCCCCTCCCCCTTCTTTCTCTTCCTTGCTTTTGTATCTCCCCCTCTCTTTTGTAGATAATCTGCATATTTAATCTTTCGAGATTTTCCTTTAATTTTTAGAGAATTTCGTGGTTATTTTGTGCTATTTCTTCTTCTGAAAAAGAAATTAACGTATAAATTGAATAAATATAGCACATAATACATATACCAAATACAATATACCAAAAATACATATTTAACAAACTGTCAATTATTTTTATTGAAATTATTTAACCTTAAAAAAATTATTGTTAAATTTCGTTTAATTTCGAATTCAGTATCTAACTTCATAAAAATGTAAACAAAAATTTTAACGATTTTTTTTTGTTCCCTCTTTTTATTTAATTCAAGCAAAAATAGCTCCTAATATAATATTTAAAAAAAATAAGGAAAAAAAAATGCTATAATATCAAAATCATACGTGCTTATTTAAAAACAATTGCTATTTTTTAAAAAATTTAAACAGAATATTTGCCTTTTATTTTCTTAATCATACATCATATACAAAATTATTTTCTTGAAGGAACAAACCAAAACCTGACCACAGGATTTTTTAATTTTTTAATAATGCATCATGTGGCAATTTATATTTTTCGGCTCGTGTTAACTACAGTTCAAACATAGAACGTTACGATTGGTAGTCAGATGGCAGAGGTTTATTTATAGCATAAGTCAACAAAATGAATTAAAACTGAAAATTTAAAGGGTAACTATAGAAATTTAAACTATATTGAAGGGGGTTAAAGCATTTTAGGATTCGACGACACAGACAACTTATATGAAATTATTTACTTCTTTAAGTATAAAAAATTTACTTTTTTTAAAATTATTAACGCATCAAAATTAATAAATTCCATGATTGTATCTCAATTTTTATTCAGAAGAACTTGTGAAAGATATTTATCCGAATCGATACCGAAATAAATTGCCGCAATTACAAAATTTGCGTTATACGAATAGATAAACACTTGAACGCAAACTTGGTACAAAAAATATTATGAAAAGTACAAATGTTTATGTTCATTCCGTGGTATGCTGAAGTGCCCGAATGCCCAGAAAAATTATTTACCGCTGGGAAAAAAAAATTCACTAAAGAGGCAAATTAATTTTATTGGAAAAAAAAGAGAAAAACAATGGGAAGATATGCATTTGTAAAAATCTAAATCCATATTTTAAACTCCTTTTAATGAAAATATAACTATGGTATAATTTAAATTATTCCATGATAAAATGCTTATTATTTCTAATTAAATATTCTTATATTTCTTTAAATGTAAAGAATACAGGGCTACCACGGGTCTGGGAAAACCTAGAATTGTCGGAAAATTTTATTTTGACTCCAAAAAGCAGGGAATTGTCAGGAAAAATCTCAATTTCTTACAAAAAAATCTGAAAAATTCCTACATCATACCTGGAACACAACCAGTCAGTAATTGAGTCAGCAATCAGTAATTGAGATACATGTTAAATAATTTTAACATCTATTATAATTATTTAAAAAAATTCCACTTTTTAGTGAAAATTTTCCATGTATCCATTCTTATTCTATTATATGTTTTCACTCACAAAATTTAATATTTGACATAACAAATAAAAATAATCAAAGTTTTCTGATTAAACATTGCAAGGTATAGATAAAATATGGTATAGATTTTCATTGAAATTTACTTGATATACCTGGAAGAGTCAGGGAATTTTTTTCTGAAATTGAGTAGGAACCCTGGAATAGTTAAAATTTAATGATCTGAAACTTAATTTCAAAGTTATTTTGAAAATCACATTTTATTCTTCACAAAATATTTGTTTGAATCAGATATTTATCAGCTGAAAAAATTCAAATATAGATTGAAAGTGCCCATAGTCGTCTGCCCTTTTTGACTGGATATGATGCTTGATAGAAAAGAATACGGGCTCTTTCCCGAACCCTAAAACTTAAAATCCAAGTCCTCCCAAGCGTTCGAAGTTAATATATACGTATTTTCATGCCCGAAGCAGCTAAGTCTAAGATATAATATAGCTGGAGATCGAAACTCTCCAAAATATAAAGCTGAATCTAACAAAGACAAAGGATAAATTAGCCGTGCGATTGAAAAATCAACGTTAGAGACAAAAAATTTAAAATTGAGATTTTTATATATTTGGCATCGTTGTATGGTACGTTACGTTCATAGCATTAGCAATCATAGTTGTCTAGTCACTTTTCTCAGAATCAATCGTGAAGCACATACGTTGTTTTTGGAATTGCAGAGCAGAAATACGATACAGCTTATACCGTGTTGTGGTGGCTCAGGGAATAGAGCTCTCTGTGAATCTCAGTGATGGCTGGTTGATACGTACTCCGCACTCGGCTCGCACAGACCACAGTTCTAACGTACGTCATCCTCAGTAGTAGACGGATCATGAGTTAGTCTCCTTGCCGTCTAGCTAACCGTGGGGGTTTTCGTGTTTTTCCTATCTATGTAATGAATATGCCCATCAAAAAATCCTCCATGAAGACAAATTTCTCCCAATACCTGAACCATCAGTTCTCTTGTCTTCTGGATTAGGTTCAAAATTACAATGTTACGGAATTAAACATTGGAAGTCGTAAACTCAAAAGTGGGTCGGCTGTTCAACGACGGTTATAAAATAAAATAAAATTATAATGCTGCCTACTTTTTATGCTAATAATTTTTTTTATACTTATGAACGGAACATAATACTTTAAACATCTTTATAATTAAAAAATAATAAGAAAGCAAATGAAATCTCTATCATGAGACCTATAGGCCAATGACTTTCTACAGACAATTTCAATTAGTCCGAGTCGAGTTAAGGCTGGGGCCTGATTATCACCTAGGCCCAACAGGCATGGGCCAAGGGCCCACAATTTCTGAGGGGCCTCGAAAAGTAGTAAAAAGTCTAATGGAAAGTGGACTAGCTTTCTGTTGGTTTAAGTATTAAATAAAAAGCAGTTTTACAACAAACAGTATTAAATAAAAATGAGTAACTTTTAGCAAAAATCACTGATTTAAATTGTTTTTGGCTAACAAACTATTTTTATTTTGATATAACATTGTTTTGTTGTTTAATATTTTGCTTTAGTTTATAGATACATAAACTTTATCTTAGAAAAATAATCTTCCATTGTCTGCTTTCAAAATTTCTTAGAATGTTTCTCCTGAATCATGCTGTTCAATAGATTCTTTTTCATTATTTGGACTACTCTTCAGCAATTTAATATCAAAATATCTTGTTAGGGACCCGGAAAATTTGGTGGTCCTTAGGCCTGAATTTGTCTTGATCGGTCCCTGGTTAAGGCTCGGAATTTCAGGTTCGGACAGTGACCGCCTCATCTTGAAGGCCTGGAGACATTGCCCCCCTCATCGACTACCCTTTGCCCCATGTCACTGTATCCATTTCATCGCGTTTCAACATATGCACCATTAGTCAAGACATAATACCTTATCTCCCTTCATGTCTTGTGAATCATTTATGAAGTTCCAGTTCCGGTGATTTTTTTAGGTGGCTGATATCAGTAATTGTTTACGATAATAAA